GACTGTTTACCTTTAAAATGAACTGAAGACCTTTTTCTAAATCAGTTTTCAACGCTGATTCAGAAAAAAATAGTTTCAACCTCTCATCTTGTAATAAAACTTTAAAAAAGTCACTTCTACGATAAAGGTCATTTTTTCGATTTTTTAGATCCTTGCAGTATTTCAGGTTTTTCTCCATGAAAAAAGGACTTTTAAACATTTTAAAGGTGATATTCATGATCAGCTGAACAAGACGAATCAGAATATGTATGACAAATTGAAAAATAAAATCCACTCGAATTTTGCATTAGCTGCACCTTACTTGTCTAGAGACAAACTAAAGTTGATATTTGTTATCAACGTGAAAAACAGAATCGAACTGCGTGCGTTTCACTGATTTTCAGCTAAAACTGGGAAAAGTAGGTTTTTCCGGGATTTGGATAAGTTGGTAATTTTTGGTAAATTCAAACGCAACAAATGGAGCATTTACAGCCATTTTTGACAGTTTCAAGAAAAAATCCACAACTTATTCAAAAGTTGTGATAGAGATCTGAAATTTTCAGCATTGCTAGAGCATAAGTAGGACTAGTGTAGATAATAATGTCAGCACCCTATCTCCCCTATCTCATTTGGTTCAGGAAATATAAAAACGCTCCCGATTTTCTACTGTTTTACAGTTAAAATGTAAAAATTTATAATTCATTTTAACATCATGAAAAAAGATTCCTGAAAAACTGTATGAAGAGATTTTCTTCCATATCATTTCTACTGAAGTTCCGTCTCCTTGTAAACGCAAACTTGGAATGTTGAGCATAAAGCCTACTTGTCAACAATCATATTTTCCCATGTTCTAATTTCTAGTAAAAAGATATCGTAAAAAATGGCGATATTTGCCGGGTATTTGCAGGGTTTTTGTAAAAAGCATTATTAAAAACATGGAAATAACGGCAGAAAATTCGCACTATCGCCATTCGATAGAGAATTCCAAGGGCTACGTTTTGGCCTATCCGATGTGGGTATTAGGCATACGTTCAAGCTTATACGACGAAATACAGTTTTTAGAGTTAAATTTTTGAAAGTTTTGTGGTATTTCGATTTTTGTTTACTTAAGACAGAATATCAAGTCTCAGGATCATGTCCTGTGTACCATTTTGTAGAAAATTATATAGTGAATAGGGGTGGCACATTTTCTTTACTAATGCGTTACTTTACTGAGTAAAGCAACGCTTTCAAATATCACCGTATGGGTGACGAACAACCGAAAAGGTATTGTTTTATCACCTTCCGGACAAAATGCGACTAAAGCGTTACTATATTATACGTTACTTGTAACGCAATAACGCTTTCGTTACTCGTTACCAGTAACGCATAANCAAGCGTTACTGCATTACTAGAAAAGTAACGCAAAAAAGCGTTAAAGTAACGCGAATAACGCTGCGTTACTCGTTACAAAAGCTATGAAAAATAAACGCTTCTCGTTAGTACTTACTGGTTACCAGTAACGCAATAACGCATGCGTACTCGTTGCCAGTAACGCAATAACGCATGCGTTACTGCGTTACCTGTAAAGAAACGGTAAAGCGCCACCCGTAATAGTGAATCTTTTGCAAAAAAACAGCTGAATTTTATTATATGTATTTCATATAGAAAGCGTCAATTTATAGAGAGGGCTGGAAACTTTTCGATCACCCTTTATCAGGATCCAATGTTATTTGGCCCTCATCGAAGGGTGCTGGAGATTTTTAGAAAAGTTTTCTGAAAATCCTGAAAAGCTGACTTTTCAAAAAAGTTTTAGAAGCAAATCAACAACTACTTTTAGTAACACCAAGAGTCTTGGTGTTACTAAATTTGTCGTCTACTCTTAGCGTCTAAATTTGATCAGACGTGGGTGCTCTATTTGAAATAGAGCACACACGTCTGATCAAAATGAGATATCTGCCAGCTCTGAATGGTGTTCTGATCAAGAGTTATGCGAGCTTTCTTGGAAGCCCTAAAATATGCATCAGATACAGGCGGCACCATATCTCGAAAGCGACAATCACCTTAACACCTTTTCGTCGCTCCCAGATTTCTGGATAACGAAACATCGCAGAGAGCTCGCGAAGGTCTTAAATTGAAGCTGACACATGTGGCTAGAGGCTAATAGAGCCTGATCTTTGATATTCGGTCTAGATTTGTGATTAGAAAAGCATATTTACCAAATTTTTATGAGACTTTTTTGAATTTTGAACTTTTGACGCTGATCATTAATTTGAAAAGAAAAATATCAGAAATCCGGCTCTATTAGCCTCTAGCCACGTGTGTTTCGTCAATTTAAGGTCAGTCCGAGCTCTCGACAACGTTTCGTTTCTGAGAAATCTTGGAGCTACGAACAAAATGTAACAAAATGTACCGAACTATGTATCGAAGCGCTTGGAGCGATCAAAGCGATAATTATTCGGATGCTATTTTGAATATCTATACCTGTCTATACATCAATAACAAGTTGCAACAGGCATATTTAAAAACTCGAAATGGTTTTTGCGAGTCCTCCAATAACGAGAAAGAATTTCTAAATAATTTTTGTTTTATCTAAGATTCAACAAAGTTCAGTAAAATATTTATCATGTATAACATCTGTCCCGGTTGAAAGAGTAGATGTAGAAAATACCATTTACTAATAATACTAATATAATAAATTAGTAATTTATTATTTCCAATGTAGAAGCCAGTAGAATACTTTATTTTATATTTTTTTGAAGTTCTTTTTGCCTATAAAATGAACAGGTCTTTTTCAAAACCATAAGGACTGTCTTTCTTAAGAAAGTCTTTCAAGATTAGCAAACGTAAGTCTGTTTTTTGGTATTTACTTTTAAACGTTTTCATTGACAAACATATTAACAGCTTGGCCAAGCGTGACGGAATTTCACTTTTCCGACTTCTTTGTTTTGCATCTCCGAAACCATGTAAGGAATTACAATGAAATTTTTATCAAATGAGTATAAGAAAAGGTTCTTCAAATTCTGAGAGTGTGAGTTTGATCGGTATGCCAGATCAGCAGTTGTAGCAAAAATAGAGGCCGTGACGGAATTTCAAAAAATGGAAAGTTTTTTTGGATGCTCTTTGAAATTCGATCTTCTCTCTGAAATAAGGTACTGTCGTTTGACATACTTTACAGTACTTTGCCAATGCTTGGGCTTCCAGAATATGTCTTTAGTTTTAGTTTCAAGCGCTAAGAGCAAATAAAAAGGGGAGGATATCGATCGTGACGGAATTCATCCGTAACGGAATTTCATGCTTCCAATGTAGAAGAAACACATCATTTGTACACACACATCAACGTCATTTTCATCCAATGGAAACGACGGTAATCCCGTGTTCTCATGGTCCCGATCGGTTATACTTTCCATGCTTATCGATGAGAAACTGCTTCTTGTTCGTAAAACAGGTACAAAATGATTTGGACGCCATATACGTTCTCCATCCGGTTCTGGGCCAGACCAGAGTACTCGCAATGGTTCGTCCGACAATATTGAATCCATCTGCCGTGGTTCGTTGATACGATTTAGAAGCTCAAAATAGCCATCATTATCATTTATGTTTGGATATATAGATTCTATTTTACGACCAAATATGGAAGATACAGCTGCTAACGTATGGACACCAGTATATTCATGATTATTCATAATTCGCAATACATGTTCCTGTACTACCTCGTCATCAACTAGATCAAGTTTCATACTATACAGCATTGTTGTATAATGTTCTTCATTATAGAATCCGAAACCAGTGAAATATTCGACGAACGTTTATCAGAAATGAAACCTAAATGGGATGAAATATTGCCTAGTTTTTCTGTATGGTTCGATAGACATCAATCAAAAACGTTTCGTAATCATATGATCTCGTCCGTTAGACTTCAAGCTGGTCACATGAGCAGTGGACACCCACGGTTATTTTATAGTAATGACTGCGAAGCTTGAAATCATGCACTAAAAAACGAAACTAATTGGAACCTACGTCCGTTAACAGATATCGTTGATTTAATTGGTAAAGCAGCAATTGCACAAAAAAACAGAACAATTCGATCGTTTTATGGCCTTGGTGGTTTCGAACTTGTGGGATCGTACGCACGGTAAATATAAGTTGCTGTGTTCTTCGCCAATAAAGTAAATATCAGTCCAGTTGTATAACATATTGTTATTTATTTTTTGCAGTTTCGTCCACGATACGCGGGTATGGGTCACAAAATCAGCAGCTGATAAAGAAAAGCTGGTAGATGCATTTTACTCGTATATACCTGCACAATCAAAAGAAACAGGCAAATTCAATATTCCAACTAGAGCTGGTTTAAAACCAAGTCGTACAAATAGAAAGGGTACGACTACAACAATACCGAAAAAAAAGAAGTAATAACATGGGTTAATCAAAATAAGTAAAATATTCTAGCATTGTTTCTGTAATAAGTAAAATATTCAGAAGTATTTCTATTTATGTTTGTTCATTAGCAAAAAAGTGACATAACAGGCATATTCAACAATAACAAAAAATAAGTATTTATCTTTTTTCATGCTCTAGAATCACTTAGATTTTCATGATGATCAGACGTAATGTAAATGTTTACCATGTGGTGTTGCACGGTTGATTAGCTTTTAAGCGGATACTTGGAAATACTATAAAACAATATCGAAACAACAGAAAAGAGCAATAATATAGTAAGCAAGGTACTAGAAAGAAAGGAAAGCTTATATTTTTCTCGCGTTTAAAAAAGAAAACAGAACAGTACATTACATAAAGTGGAATAAGGCACCGAAAACACTGTTATGTCATCGTTATATTCAGAATCAACAGTTCAATAAAGTTCAGTATTGGTTAACTAATAATGTAAGTCAACTACTACCTCTGTCTGCCGTGGAATATAGCCTAAAGGCAACTCTTTCGACTGCACTAATTGTTTTTGTTCTAAAAACACATTTTCAGGAGTATTCAGCAGATTGTCTGCAAGCAGTTTTTTACAGAAAACTTTTCAAACCAATTGAAAATAGAAAATGTTGATATAAGAGATAAGATAGGATAGAATATGTTAAAACTTGCAGTTTCTGTTAATTGCATTTACTTCAAAACTTGCCATTAAAATGAAAAAGTGATTCGCTTAGAAAATGAACAGCATTATTCTGAGAAACTTTAAAATAAAAAGTTTGCAGTGGTTTGTGTACAACGAGCGGCTCTTTTTCTTGCAATATTTTCGAAAAAGAAGAAGTTTTGTTTCTAATAACTTTCAGTGCAAAAGTTTTCTAAATGTCTCAGATTGTCGAGGAGACTTTTCTCTACAAAATGAGTGAGCATTAAGAACATTTATGCACTTCTTTCTCAATCGAAAAAGAATCTGACCTGGAATCGTATTTGAACTTTAATTTGCATCTTTTCTGATAGAAAACTCCCGAACAGTAGAGATCATTTCCCTGATTGGAAAAGATATCATGCATCCGTGTTGCCCCTGTACATTTGACGGAGGAAATATCAAAGATCTTATGTGAGAAAAGGTATAAATATACTATAATCTATCAATGACTCTGAAAATCCCCCAAAAACTACTGTTTGGCGGACATTTGTATAGAATAAATTCGAAATGATAAATTTCGGTTTTATTGGAAATCAAAATCGATTTGTTTGAAAATGACCTTTCAAGTACCTTAACAGTGACAATGTTGCATAAGGTTCGAGCGTGTTGATTCGATCGGTCGATAGGCATCAGAAACGAGTCAAGCAAACGTGACCCGAACTCGACTCGACCCGAACGCGACCCGATGCGAAGCAATATATTATACGTTGACCCTAACCTGATCCGACCGGAGCTGGTCCGAAAAATTTTCAACTGTGATCTGAACTAGACCCGTTTACGTATTCGCAAAGAAACACTTCTTTCCTATAGAAAAGTTATCTTAGCTGGATTATTTTGAAATTGTTTCAAAAAAATGGTCAAATTCTTTTAGGTTTCTGTCACTTTTTCCTTTTATGAGTGGAGAAGTTTGAGTAATTGAGGCAGTTTATTTTATACTGACCTGAGTTTGGCCCGAGAAAGGTTGTTGATCTGACCCGATCCGAACAATATCTTTTAGGTTGATCCGAACCCGACCCGACCCGTTTCTGTCTCTGATATGCACAATGAACTTAGTAGCATAGGAAACCTATATAGAGTCAGGACTGATGCTGAACAATTGAAAACGGTCCGATAAAACGAAAATTTCCATTTTTCTCAAGACATCCAGATGAAACAAATCTGAAATTCGTATGACGGCTATCACTATTGAGAAAATCAACACACAGGATTTCATAACGCTTGGATAGCTGGTTCTTTAAGAGATTTTTCATTATTGGTATAAATTATGTTGACGAAAATCAGAATGTAAACGACTAGACCACTGTGAATCAGTATCAGTTTTCGAAGAAAATTTATAGAAGATCTATAAAATAGCAATTCTTTTGTGTCTGTTCCACCACCTCAATTTTCCTAAGATACAGGGGTTGTCACATCTCTCCTGAGTTTTAACGATTTTAGATATAGTCTAGGCGCAGTGGCGTAACCAGGATTTTTGGACTGCTGGGCCGTGTTCTGTAGAGTCGAAAAGAATCGGTGGGCCTAGGTGGGCCGAACGTTGCCTGCTTGGGTAGAAAATATTTCCAACTGTTGCCAGTTCTGATACCGTCATTTTCGGGGCTACTCGTTCTCGTGGTAATTTAAGATTTTTCAACGTCATTCTTGCAACCACTTTTTTCTTATTTTCCACCAAAAACTGAGTCTGGAAAGCTAATTCTGGTACACTTCTTCATACACTTTCTAAGGAATACGCGGCTGTGCACGCTGAACTGAATGGCATTGTCAGGTTTTCGTAGTTCTTTTGTCTTCGCAAGTTGTAAGACTTTTATTCCAATGTTCACAAAACGACTTATTGTTTCTGTTGGTGAAAAACACCTCTTGACTCCACTCCACTTCACTGCTGGGAATGAATTGAGATGAAGGATAATAAGTGGTTTTTCTCTCCTCTTGGGAAGAAAGTTGTGTATATATATATAACTATAAGTTATAAGAAAGAGTATGAATATCTTGGACCAAATTTTTCGTCTTTTAATATCGAACCGAAATTTTTGATTTAGTTTAACTTGATAGTGTAAGTGTGGGCATTTATTTTGTACATCTCGTAGTTACATTTGCTACATTAAATTTACTTTCTTATTTAGTTGTCGAAATACCATCACCCTTTCTTATTGGTAAGATGACTACTAAGTCTGGTCAAGAACCAATCGAACTATCACGATTGGCAAAACAGCTAAACATACTAGCTAAATCAGATTATGTATCACAGGTGTCACATGATAAAAATATGAAAAACTCGATGGAATCAAACAGTTGTCTAAACTTAGAACAAAACCTGTCAATTCAATTCAAGGTTGTACATAATTATATTGACGCGGAACAAACAAGTTACGAAGAAATTGCTGGAATTGTCTCAAATAAAGATGATCCAGGTATTCCATCTATAACCTTTAGAAGCTGTTTCATTGGTGCGATTTCTGCTGTATTAATATCTACTGTAAAGCAATATTTCTTTTATCGAACCACTTCGTATTCATTTCCGTCGATACTTATATTACTTTTATCATATCCAATTGGGAAATTCATGTCATGGTGTTTACCTAGAAAATCTTTTAGAATTTGGCGTTGGCACTTTTCTTTCAATCCGGGCCCGTTTTCAATCAAAGAACATGTGTTAATTTATCTCATGGCTAACATAAGCCTCCAAGTAACTTCGGAATCTTTCGAAACACTTAATGCAATAGATGTAATTGTTTTGAAGCACGTGGACTATCATCAAGAGACGAGTTTTATACGGGGAATAGTTTTTGTTCTATCCTCACAAGCTATGGGAATTGGCATGGCAGGTAAGGTGATTAACCAATACTATATGCTGTATGAGATTGAAGTCAACACAGTTTAAGAACAATTATCTGAGAAAAACAGGTACTATGAGGAGCAATGAGTATCGATTTTCCGGACTAGATTGATACGTTAACTGCACGTTATGTGTGGAGTGGTGAATAAATGAGAAACATATAGAGCCGGCTACATTAAATAAAAGAAAAAGTAAAAAATGACGACATGTTGAATACTTTTTGTCACCATTGAAATGGTGATGCTAACTCCTTGCTTCACTGTTTTGTACTGTTACGATATTTTCACAGTTTGTACTCCTAACTGAGATTAGTTGATGGTTAAATGAAAGGAACATGAAACTGTTTTGATACAGGGTTATAGTTGCTGCCTCATCTCACGTGAGTCACGTGAACCACTAGTGCAGAAGAAGTAGCAAAATAATCAGAAAAAGTCGTTTTCTCAAAAACAATCGAACAGTTAGACTTGACATAGTTGTTGAATAACATCAGAACCAAATTTCGAGACCTAAAACTGTCTTCATCTGTCATGGAAGTGCCTTTTGTGTATAAATTAAGAACTCAATATCTTTATGAGCGAGAATTGTATGGAGCTGAAACTTTGATATGTTGTCGAGTATATATGGGTCTTTGCCAGACTTATACAAAAAGCTTTTCTAATATCACTGAATCGTACTTTCGAAAACCTTTTCAAGATCTGGTTTTCTAATATCTTTTTCCAGGCCAGAAATCCTTCTGTGGACTAGACTCCTCAGTTTATTGAACAGTTTAGAGTCTTTTCTATAAAACAAGCGATTCGCCAGCTTTATTACAGCTTTTCCTTGGTTCGCTGACAGTTAATCACTCTTAATTTGCAATAAAAATAAAACCAGCGGTTGAAGGTGAACAATGTTCAGCGAATGAGTGGTCGCGGAAAATTTTTGTTCGTTTTCGGAACGCTCAGGCTTTAATAATGACGGTTTTCTGCTCGTCAACGAGCTGTAAAGATCGATGTGCTCGCTTCTGGTAGTCCGTTTCTACTTTCCCGATGGAGAAATATGTCCCTGTCCCGATCGAGAAAGATGTTATCTCATGAACCATAAGTCGTATAGAATGTGGTCAGCTTTTATTCTGCTGCTATTACTATTCGATATTTGTGAAAGATGCGAACATCCACTAACATCCAGAAATCATCCGAATTAAAAAACTGACACGGTCAGTCTGTAGAGCTCGTCGAGTTGAGTATATCAATACTCAAAACAATCATTAGATACTGAGCTTTTTAGCCAACTTAATAAATAAACACTCACTCAAAGCCATTAACACCTAGGAAACTCGATTGATGTAGATAATATTATGTAAAAGCGTGTTTGCTACAGTAGCGCCGCCTATGTTCCCATCAGAATCTAAAACGTCAGATTTCATCATAGAAGTCGCTATCGGAACTATCTTGACTTCTTCCTTTACTCACAAGTAGTTCATAAATCAAATAAATGAGGTCTATTCTACTGATCAAACATTATTCTCTCACACAAAATGTTACAAAAGGTGTTTTTCTTTAACTGAAAAAAGTGACAAGGATGAGAAACATGTCTCGGTGTAACGAAAAGCTAGCCGAAACAAGTCTATAGACTAGCGACACCTATTGTTTTAATTTAAAATACCATTTATACAGACTGCCAGAATAAGCTTTCAGGTTAGGAGTTTTTCAGTTTCTAAGCAGGTATAGTGAAGAAAAATGTATTAAACTTTTAGTTTTTTTTCTAATTCCGAAGGCGAGCCCCCACATCTTACCTAAAACCTGTCATATTGTAGAAAACACGTTCAGTCGTATGAAAATGGAACAAAAAAGTTTCGTCAAGTTTCATTAGACTTATTAATGAAGCAGATTTAAGATTAATTAAAATTCTTACCTTTCGACACAGTTTTACCACAAATGTTACATTCGGTTGATTATCACGGGGACTTGTTCGAGATAGAATTCTATGAAAGCAATAGCAAAAATGAGATCTCTGAGTATTTCTGAAATTAGCGACACTGCTGTGCAGAAAGCCAACTTCTCTGATTTCAGGATAAATATAAGATCCTCTAGGAAACCTCTTATCTAAAAAAGATTTCCTTTATTCAGCAGAATCTACGTCTAAGATTTGTATTTAGATAAGAGGTTTTATACAGGATTGTGTGTCTGTCCCGCTTTCCTCTCATTCTAAAAAGGTTCCTCTCTCAGTCTGAAAAAGTTTTAGCTGATATGTGATAATTCAATAGTATAGCTCGGACGGTCCAAAACAACAGTTTTATCTCAATGAAACACTTTGCCAAACTGAATAACTAAAGTACACATTAATCTTTTAGGTAAGCTGTCGATCACAAAGATTGTAGGAAGAGTTACGTATTTGCCTATCTCTACCATGTAACACGGACCATGCACAAGGAAAGATCTGTCTTCAAAGTCAAAGAGCTATTTATATTTCCAACTCGTCCCGTGTCAGGTAAGAGCTTCATTTGTGAACAACGTTTATCATGCGTCGATGTTTAGTTTGGCCGTCTGACATGATCTGGCCGAATAATTTACCTTATATTGCTCTGTTTCGAACACTTCATGAAAAGGAACACTCAGCAAGTCTTCAATGGTTAAATATGAGTCGTCGAAAGTTCTTTATTATTGTTTGCAGTTGTCAAGCAATTTATTATTGGTTACCTGGATATATTATGCCAGTTTTAAGCGCATTTTCATGGCTGTGTATGTGCAATACTAAGAATATTCTTCTTTCTCAACTTACCGGGTTCAATGGATTCGCGATTATTGGTGTACTAATATTGAACTGGAGAACGATTAGAGGACTGTTTGGATCACCAATTGTGGTACCATTCTGGGCTCATGTTAATATTCTAGTTGGTTTCGTCTGTGTTTTTTGGATTCTTATGCCTATTGCTTATTATACAAATTTAGCGGGTTTTAAATATTTACCAATTTCAGTTTATAATCCTTCTGCTCAATTCTTTACAGCAGATGGAAATTATTTCACTGATGGTCCTAGCAGCAGCCGTCGAGTGCCTATCTCACCCATATTTACCTCTTATATTGTGTATGCATCATTTGTTGCACTTGGTGTGCACACAATTCTCTATCATGGAAGAGATATTATTCAACAATTTCGTACATCGTTAAAGAACCGAGAAAATGATATTCATTGTACATTAATGTCAAAATATCCAGAGGCACCAGAATGGTGGTATATAATTGTTTTTATTATTGCATTTATTATCGCTTGTATTATTTGCCATATTGATAATTACATGCCCTGGTATTTTTTGTTTTTAACTACAGTATTTTCTTTTATATTTTTACTCCCGATTGGAATTGTTCAAGCAAAAACAAATCTGTATATTGATACTAGTTTTATTACTATAATTGGTGGCAGTTATCTGGTGAAAGTCAGTCCTATTGGTACTGTAACGTTGTCAGTATTTTGCAATAGGTCTTTATTTCAAGCACTTGACTTACTTTCTAATTTGAAACTTGGACATTACATGAAAATTTCACCACGTGCAATGTTTACTATACAACTTGTCATTACTGCTTTATCTGCTATTGTTAAATATGCCATAGGCAATTATTTAGTTCACAATATTCCACAGTTATGCAGTAGTAATAGCACTGACTGGTCTTGTCCTGCGATAGCAATAGACATACTGCCAATCACCTACGCATCACAAGGAGGTTAGTTCTTTATTCAGGTATTAGACAAAAAAGAAACCATTGAAAATCAGTAGCGTATGGTATGAATGACAATATCTTTCACATTGACAAATTGTGAAAGCCAAATCTATGTTTTTATCTGCTCTATCCAATAAGGGAAGCCATCAAAACTAACTGAACGTAAAAATGTGCACGTGGACTAGATTCCACGCATAGAGAGATTGTCCATTTCTGTCGATGAGTAGGTGAACGATTTATTTCTGCAATGCTATTTTGTCATGATTTGAGCTTATATTTGAGTTTTTAAAAAGCCTGTCCTGGCATTGGGCTCAAACTTCCTCACTACTCAAGGTGTCTGAACTTGTCTTGAAAAACGATCTGCATGTTTGTCTGTTCTTTATCGGTACCTGAACAGCCACATATTTGGATCTTATGAACTCTAGCAGATCTCTATCTTAGGGAAGCCATCAAAAATAACTGAACGCGTGAAACATGGACTACACTCCACACTCCACACATAGAGAGATTTGTTCATTTCTGTCGATGAGTAAATATAAATGAACATCGGGAAAACAACATTTTGAACATATCAGCCTTTTCTCTGTCTGCCAATTTAAGCGAGAAAAAGAACAGAGAAAGATGTTCATTTATATGTACTCATCGACAGAAATGAACAAATCTCTCTATGTGTGGAATGTAGTCCACGTTCACGTTTCACGCGTTCAGTTATTTTTGATGGCTTCCCTAAGATAGATAGGCTTTTTAAAAACTCAAATCTAAGTTCAAACCATGACAAAATAGCGCCCTCTACCGTTTACTATGCATGCGATAGTCTCCGTCATCCATCCCATCAATAGCTACAAGTAGTCAAATTTATGATTACTCAAAACTTATCTCATTTGGTTCTCCATAATACTTTATGTATCGACCTCAAAGTTCATTGATTAAATCTAATTTGTTCTAAAGCTTTAAAACTGTTTCTTAAAGTATGCCCGAAATATCGGCAAAATGTATAAGTATTAGTATCTCAATTCTCACCTTAATATATTTTGTCCAAATAATTTCTGGCTGATAACTAATCAGAAAAAGCATTAATAACTGAATAAAATGCACTACTATCCATTTCAAAATAAAGACAAATCTCCTTTTTGAATTACTTTTGAACAAAATTAACAGATACTTGCAATTTTCACTACCTTGTAGAGAACTTCAGAACACTTCGAGGAATCTTGAAAAATGAAATATCTCAACCGTTAGTTTTCACTGCTAATTTAGTAAGTAGCGTTAATAGCCTCTTACATCCGAAAAAAAGATAATTTTTGTTTTTTAAGATTCTTGGCGGAGCTCCCAGGATCACTTTTTAGCTCAGAATAAAAGCTGTATGAAAAATGTAATGTGTATGTTACAGTGGAAATTGAAATTTCAATTTCCACTGGATTCTTGTCATTGGAAATTGAAATTTTAAGTTCAACTAGTGGGGAATAAAATTTTAATCTCCACTATAGTGGAAATGATAATTTGCTTGACATGATGCTAATAGTAAAAGGAAAGGAATACCTTTTTTTTATTTAAAATATTATTAATAATGACAAATGTTTTTTAACAACATTAGGCATTTGAACACACACGTTTTTTTGGGATGACATTTTGTACAACATTTTACGCCTTTAGCTCGATGTGGACAACTTTTTTTCGCACAGTCCCGTTTACAATTGCACGCTTCCTCAATTGTATTTCCACCTATACTAGCGTAACCTTTACAAGCTTGGATGAATGTAACAACGGGTAAATATTTGTAATTAATAGCACGCAGATCACGCGAAATTGCACTTGGACAAGTCTAGTAAATCATGGATACTAAAAGCAACTGACAACACACCTGTCAATGTACATACTTTATACAACATTACACCATCCGACGCTGATTGAACCACTTTGTGTGGTAAAATTCTTGGCGGTGTATTCGTACGATCAACTTTATCAATTTTCTACAACTAACTATTTGAACTTTTATACTATCTCAATATATGAGTATTTCTTTCCTTTCCATTCTTTTACTATTTTGATTTCCACTATAGTGGAGATTAAAATTTTATTCTTCACTAATTGAACTTAAAATTTCAATTTCCACTGACAAGAATCCAGTGGAAATTGAAATTTTAATTTCCACTTTTGGAATTTTAAATTCAACCGAATTTTAATTTCCAGTGTAACATATACTTTGTTCGGCTCTATCTGTTACGTAGATTCTAAATGTCGCATTTATTTTGAGATAAAACATTATTTTGATATGGGTAAATACCACTCAGAACTAGGTCATTTTTACGTACTATTCAATTACCACACTGCAATACATTATTTTGTTTAAATATCAAGCTCATTTTTGGATAAAGCACGAAAAACTAGGTCGATTCGTTTATCTTCGCAATCTGTGTAAGCTATAATGAAGCCGTAGTAAAGTTATTATCAAACTGGATGAGCATATTCCAACGTTTGCTTGAGATAAGAGCAATGACTTTTGAATAAAACAAATAACTATTGCAGATAAGACGATTTCTTTTCAAAATATCACTTAATTCCGTTCGACTTGAGATATTTCTGAAATAAGACTTGGAACGGTAAAGATAAAATGTGGATTTTTCATAAGATCCGGAATACGCCTCTGCTGCGAATTCCAAGAAATTGATCACATAGAATCCGTGGAGACAGTTAAACAATTAACTTGTGCTAGGCTAATCCGCGAGCTTTATCACCTCCGACACTTCCTTCTTAAAAGCGATTTCGAGAAAAAAAGGAAAACACGCTTCTTCATTTCTTTTGTCCATGATATCTTTAGAAAAACCTCTCAACACCCTAATACAAAGTCCATCGCTACGACTAAAAACTATAGTGCATTCGGAAGCTTATACTTTGGGCTGTTCAAGCGTCCAACTTTCCAAGTTTAACGTAAAAGCATGCGCTGTCAACCCATCTTAAAATATAGTTAAAAAATTATACTAAACTTTTAAATTTGATTCCACATTTTAAAACTTAAAAAGCTTATAAAATCCGTTTTTGATGTCAGAATGTCGAAAAAGTATATCATTTTGTAGAGAATTTAATTCCTTATCGAATGGTATATTTTTCAGTTTTTTCAAGAATCTGGCTAGGTAAGCAATTTAAAATGAAAGCTTTTAAAAATTTAAAAATTAAATTTTTGCATTCATATTTTTACTTTAATTTTTTAAAAGGCCAAATCAGCGCAAAAACTGCATCTAATGATGCCCTCATATCAGTTCTCCAATGAAAACTATTTTTGAAAAACTTAATCAGTGAAGTGTCGTGTTACGTGGACAGGCCGGTGAGTGGAAAATCTCGATAGCTTGGTCAGAAAATATTCACCTCTATCCGAAGTAGAATTTTCATAGAATCCTGGTTTTCGTACTATCTCATATTAAAATTAAAAATTTTCTGCCATCCAGCTTTCCCACGCAAGTAGTCGTTTTTAAGACACTTCTACGACCATTTTCAAAACAAAGTTTCCGAGAGAAGCATTGATTCTTCGTTTTTACGTTCAACTTGGAAAAATAGACGCTTGAATAGCCCAAAGTATAAGCTTCGGAATGCACTATAGTTTTTAGTCTTAGCGATGGACTTTGTATTAGGGTGTTGAGAGGTTTTTCTGAACATATCATGGACAAAAGAAATGAAGAAGCGTGTTTTCCTTTTTTTCTCAAAATCGCTTTTAAGAAGGAAGTGTCGGCACCTCACGGATTTCTCTGCCATATCGAGCGATAAAGCTCGCGGATTACCCTTAGAATCTAGCCAAAAGCTAGTACTACAACTGACCAGAGCCGGATTTTTGACTTACAAGGGAACCTTTTCAGGTCATTTTAATTGTTATTAGTAACGTACGACATAGTGGACTTGCACTCCTTGCTATACACTGGCGAGCCGATTTAGCAGGGAGT